AATGATGATGGAGTAGAATAGTTTGTAGGGTTTACTTGTTCCGGTATGTGATAGTCCAAGCATGCCTTTTTTGCCCGTCTTGGTTTGTAGGTGATACGTGGTTTTCAACTCAGACATCACCGCTGATCGACGTAATGATTCTCTGGCTGTTTTGTGTACGTCGGTTTTCACTAAATCTTTGGCTGTTTGTTTTTTCATATTGTCACATGTGATACGATGATATTCTGTCAAACTCGCATATGTTCGTTGACCAGCGTCATGTTTGTCCAAATGTTTTCTAATTGAAAAACAGCGTAGTTCACCTGTTCTCTTATTTTTGATTTCTAGAGAATCAACAAACAATCTAAAAGAGAGAAAAGAAAAGAATACATTGTTAGTTAAGCTGTTTATTACTCACCCATCTTGTTGGTCACCATCATGATAAATATCTACCCTATCAACATGATTAAGTTTTGTCAGTGATTCAACATCAAATATGTCTGTTTGATTGTGTTCAAATTTACTCTTGCGATTCTTTAATTTCTCTAATTTAATTGATTCCGATTCAATTGCTCCATCATACAATTTCAAGTACACATTAGCATCAGTGTGTGCACCATCGAACAATCCTTTGATACCCTTTTTTGTTCTCACTTGAAATTTGGACTGAATTGGCTTCTCATCTGAATAGAACGTATCCGTAAGACTACTTGTTCTCAGTTGTTTCACTTCTGGATCATGCAATTTTCCAACACATGGCTCTGACTTATATTCTGTTAAATGAACGCTTGTGCTATGGTCATTTGGATTCAAATCTAACCACTTTCCAACCGGAAAACAATATAGTTTTTCCGTTTCAACATCTTTTATTTCAATAAACTCAACGTACCAGCCTATATATCAGAAAAATATGTTTTCATCAATAGAATGCATTAATATTCCTAATCAACAAAATCTGACGTAAATTAGAGATGCTCAGAGCAACTGGTTTTTGTCGATATTTTCTGGAATTCTGGTGTTTTTATTTTGCTCTGAAATAGACAAAAAAATTCTTTGTTTGAGATTATTTTCTCTGTAAATTTTTCCTCTAGTAGTTGCTACATTTCATCTTTCCAAAAATACTTTCAGTGTATCGTCATCGTAAAGAAATTACAAAAAAATTAATTCATTATTCCACATATTGACGCACTGGAAAAAAAGCCCAAAACCTGTTAAAAAATTTGAGTATATTTCCCTAATAGTTACCCAGATTTTTCTTCCCATTATGCCAAAGGTCAATAGCGGATATATCTTTGAGATCATGAATAGAACCAACATGAAATTCATCTAATTCATCTTTTTGAAATGGAATTTTATTGGTTACTGTTTGGTAAAGTTGGATAATTTCACTTTGTTTCTTATTCATGTCATAGATGCAAAGAAAAACATTGACATCAGTTGGAGACATAGTTTTTGAACCAGTTTTTGTTTTTACAGTATATTTTTTAAGAAAATTTTTTGGATCTGGTGACGCATTGGATATAGGTAAAATATTTGTATGTAACTTTGATGATTGTCTCTGTGAGTGCATTTGATCTTCTACAGCATCATTTTTTGTTAAATCATGTAATCCATGTCGAGTTTTATCGCATGGAAAATGAGAATGATCTGTTAATATCACTTTTGATAAACCATCTGGTAAATGTTTGGATAAAAGACGATTAACACCAAAACATTTTACTTTTCCCGTTCGTTTATTTTTGATTTCAATCCTGAAAAAAACAAATTGCTGGAGAAGTTTTGTGAAAAGGCTAGATACAACGTAAAGGTACCAAGTTCGGAATAATGATGCCAAAACATGGTCCTCATTTAAGTTTGAAGTGCATACAAGACTACAAGTTAGGAATGTATTTTCATCAACGCGACTGTAGCGTCAAAATAAAACCAATTTTTGATATGTGTGTCGTGGGTACTCCCGACTTATTCGAGAATTGTGTTTTGGATAGCGCTGAAATCAGTAGTTTTATGTCCTGTTTCATGAAGTCTGCCATATGATATACATTTAGTTTAGATAATTGTAAACATATTTTGTGAACTTACCAATCACAAAACCAGTTAAAATCAGGTTTATCATGCCACAGTTCAACTTTATCAATACTATCACCCATTGTTTGAATACTTCCTACATCAAATTTATCAATTTTTCCCTGTTTAAATGGTTGTGTATGATGTTTTGAATTTTGTAATAACATGTCTTCCGTATGTTTTTTAGCATCGAATAATTTTACATAAACATTTATAGTGTGTGACGGATCATTGTCAACATCAGTCGTACCCGTTTTTGTTCTTACTTCATATTCAGTTTTATACATATCTTTCATATGATGTTCACGATATTCATTTTCTTCACACGATTCATCAATGATAAATTCTGTCAGCACGATATGAGTTTGTTTATCACCTTAGGTATAAAGAAATTATCATCGTTTGAGAGACAATAAACAGAGTGGATATAAATAAACCTTCGTTCGAGACCAACCATCGATGAATTGGAAAACACTTTCGTTCTAAAGTTTGCACATTCATCACCTCTATCCATTTTAAATATAGGCCATCGTGCTTCCCGCCATCATGGAAAATTTCAACTTTATCAGGACTATTAATTGCGGAGTTTGCAGCAATCTCGAACACATCTACAAATAAAAAAATTGTAAAACTGCCGTACCATTTGGCTATTATTATTACTTCTTACCGGTATGACCAGCCTCAAACGGACTATTATGAGTCAACGACTCATTCAATATGACATAATCCGAAATATTGCTACCATCGTGTAAACGGACAGAAACAAGGGCACTCGTACCTCCAGCACCTAAAAATTGAACTAGTTTACTTTTTAATTCTAGATTTTTGCCCGTCTACTGTTTAAATGGTTCTATGAAATATAATGACCCTATTCGAACAAGTAACGTATTTTGGATTCACGCATTTCCAATCGGTTAAACTTTTAAACTCATGTTAATGCGTAAAAAGGGTTGCTTATTCGAAAATTTAACAGATTCACACGTCGGCTTCCCCAAAAAATGACGTTTGACTCATTTTAACACGTTATATTAACATGTATATCATACACGCTAAGTAAGGACTATGTCAGAGAAAACAGCTATCACCGATGAGTTACGTTGATATTCTCATAATATGATATCGGTATTTGAGTTATAGAAAAGTGTTGCTAAAACTTTTATTATTAATAATATCGTTTTTCCGCAAGACAACGAGTGATCAAGAGAAATTTTGGATACATTTAGGAGGAATTTAAAATAAGGGTTAAATACTCGTTTTTGAAATAACGAGTAATTAGAAAAGTTTTGCATTTATTCTGTCGTAAGAGCGAGTCAATGTCATATCAATGTCGTACTTCTATCTAGATAATAAAATCAAAACTGAATACTACTATGATATTGTACTGCGGGACATCTATGGTATGGGACACTTGTATACTAACTATATTTTATACGAAAAAAACAATAGTCAATATTTGAAAAGGTTGAAAATGAATTCTCAAATAGGACCTTAAAATAACGGAGGATATATCCAGGAAGTCGAGAGGTTTCTCTACAATATACCGTTTAGATTCCATAGGCAGCAGTTTCTTCGTGAACCAACAGGATTCTTCTCATACAAGTCTTTCAAAAACAAATTGTTTTACGGTATATTTTAATTGTTTCTACAAAATGCCGAGTACCGCAGTCTTTTACCCCTTCATGGCAGAAGAGAAGCTGTTGTATTAGGCCACAATATAAACTAATCATTGGTCTTCAAAAAGGAAAAAGTCCAATCGGAAAGGATCTAGACTATACTAGTATTATTGAATGATGCCCATCATATCACCGACAAAAAATTAAAGTTCATTTAGAGTTAAAGAAAAGTGCTTTTTCGTATTCAGCACACTTGATAACCTCGAAAATTTTCTATTTTTAGCGAGGGGTACCGCCAAAAACTTAAGAAAAATTTTCAAAATTGTATAATTTTGCCATGAAGATTTTTCTGCGTCACTTTGTTTGAAAATTTTTCTCAACTTTTTGGCGGTACCCCTCGCTAAAAATAGAAAATTTTCCAGGTTATCAAGTGTGCTGAATACGAAAAAGCACTTTTCTTTAACTCTAAACAAACTTTAATTTTTTTTTATCGGTGATATGCCCTGGTAAAAAATCATCATTTCTGAAAAATTTTCAAGAAAAATCGTTACGCTTACGTGCTCCGCTCTAACTATAAAACATTTTTAATCATAGGTGGAAGATAGTGCTCTCCAAGGCCTACACGATAGCTACTCTTTCTCCCACAAACGTTCAGCGAATAAAACTTAAAAGGGGGTTGTTTGACTGATTTTTTCTGAATTTTCGTACTTCATAGGATTTCTCATTTTCCACTTTCGGATTTTGCAATAAAATACTCAATACATATTTTGTGGAGAATTGAACGGGGTGTATTATTAAACTAGAGGGTTAACTGAGGAATAGTGCCTTATATCTCCAGATATAACACTTTCCACTTCCAGGAGTTTACAGAATGCAGCGAAGTAAATTGGCAAGGCAAGGTGGACACGCACAAAAGAGATTCCAAGGGAGAGGTGACAATGACTGTATGTAGAGTTGGTTTACAAAGGATTGCCAAAAAGTTGAAGGTAGTGTTCCTCTGTGGAAAGGTGATCATGTAGTCTCTGTTCGAACTCTGTTCGTTGTTCTTCGACGAAGAGAGCAATTGATAATACTATTCCTGAGTTAATCCTCTAGTTTAATACAGAAAGAGATGTGTGCAACGTCCTTTCTGTATTAAACTAGAGGATTAACTCAGGAATAGTGCCTTATATCTCCAGATATAACATGTATTTTGGTAAAAAACATTTGCTCGGTTAATTATAAGGAAGAGGAGAAAAATTGAAAATACTAACACTATAATTCTTTTTGAGTCACCGGTTATATTACATGAAAACGTGAAACATGTTAGATGCAGTCTAGGTCTTTTAAGCGTTAGAAGCAGTTATTAACACTAAAACTAAACCTGTCGGAATTCACTTTTTTTTCGTAAGTAAACTAATGATGATCTTTTTATCCTCTAGCAAGAGCGAATATGTTTACCCAATCGTAGAAATCCCTTATGTCCAACTCTTGTTCTAATTTTAAACAAATTTTGATTTGTTTCATTGTTAGATGTCGTTGTTGATACATCCGAATATGTGTTTGTGTCCTGTTGCAATTCTGTTTGCATTTTTTGTGTACTGAACGCCAAACTTTGCTCATCCTTCTCGTATTGATCTCGTTGTATGACACTCTGTCGTTCTGGTGATTTATGATGTTCCATATCTACATCGATACATCGTTTATTGTCATAATCTATTAATTCTAAACGAGTATTTTCTTCCAGCCACTGTTTTATTTGAAAACAATATATTTTTCCATTATCTTGATCGGTCAGTTCGATTGTATGACAGTGCAAACGTTCACGATCTTTGCCATCATGCCATAACTCTATTTTAGAAATGGGTCCTAACTTTGCTGTACTACCCACTTCAAACTGGTCAATTTGATTTGAAATAAACGGACGGTGATGTAATTTTGATTTATACAATTGAATATCTTGTGAGAAACGTCCGTTTTTATCAAAAACTTTGATATAAACATTTACTTTTGTTTTAGCACCAAAACCCCAAAATCCTTGATGACCCATTTTAAATCGAATGTCATACTTTTTAAGGTATTTTGAAAAATCGAGATTCAGGGTTGCTGTTCGTCTTTCAGAATCATCTGTTGTTACCGATGTTTTATTCAATTTTGTTTCATAGACTAGAAAACAGAGAGGTATTTAATTACTTAAAATGCCAGAATAAAGTTGTCATTTAATTCAACCAATGTACTCATGAATAACTGATGCTTTATTATTTGCTTCACATTGTAAAGGTAATTGAATGGAAACTGATTCGTCAACAATGTTGTTCTAATTCAGCTATTATTTTAGTGTCGAGAAAACTGTCAGCAGAAAGAAATCAAATGATTAAAAGATTGAAATGATACTAATATGCAATCAACAGTAATTTGTGTGCAAAAAAAGTTCGCGTATCATGGTACAATCCAAATGGATCAATCCGCACAGCCTGCAAAATCAAACGGAATGTATGTTTTTCAGCTTGTATTCTGAAACAATAAAGCTTATATCAACATACGTTTTGTGAAAGAAGTAAAATGATAGTTTTTGTGAACGGTAACATATTATCATAAATCAACGAGCTACACCGTTTTATTATTAGTAAAGGGTTGAGCTTAACACCATGAGACTAATAAAAACTTATAAAAGATATTGATAGCAGATTGAACATCTTCTCATCTGGGTCTAACTTGCCTTCTTTTCCTCTGTCGAGGTTTGTATCTGATTTATTTTGTTTGAATTTCGTTAATCTTTTCATTTGTTGACAAACGACTAATTAATGATATGCGTTTAATTCACACGTTTTGTTCAGTTCACTTTAAATCCTCTTGTTTTTCCACCACTACTATCAACTGCTTTATTGCGTATTTAACATTTACTATTTTCAACCGTTTTTGCCGTGGTCATAAACAATTACAGAGAAAAAAAATATTTTTTAGATGTTGACACAAATACAAATATCAAAACATGATATAATAATCAAAAAGTTTTTGTTGAAAAAACAACTATTTACCGCTCATACAGTTTAGTTGTCATGTTTTCAAACTAATAAGCTTCGTTCAACTTCAAGAATAATCTGAGAGTTAGAGAGCATAACATTTACATATAGCAGTTCTAAAACAAATTTTCTGAAGTAGTTTTTTTGAAGAAATATTATTCTAAGGTATTCGGTATTAAAATTATTTAAGTATGTGGACTTTCGGGGTGGATTCACTACAGATTATAGCGCCACAGAACAATCGCCTAATACGTAATAAATCAATCCAAAAGGAAAAAAGCACATTTTTCATGAAAAAAAAGTATAATACTTTCATTCTAATTACCTTCGTCATTATCGTTTACATCCTTGTTATCAAAATCACTAAAAATCAGAGACTGAAAGATTGCTTCTCGTCATTCGTATGCTCACAAAATATATTCGCTTCAACTTTTTCATCGAAATCAGGCAGACCCCTTGCAAGCGAACGTCAACTAGGCCTAGCCATTTGATTTAGTGTAGTCTAGCGTATCACAGCAATTTGTAATTGAAATAACATGAAAAAAATTAGACTATTTCGGAATGTTCACAAAAGTACTTAGAATACTTCTTACGGTATCACTCTCTAGGAATCGATTTGGATGTCTGTGGTGTGTATATCGGTGTACAAAACGTAAGACTAAAGGAGAGGTTTCTTTTATGCGCAATCATAGAGATAGAGAGGTGCGGTTTTCAGTTTTAGAAACTAGAAACCTGAGCCCGTGTTTCTATAAGCGGAAGCGAGTTTCGGAAAAAATTTTCAAGTTTGTTTTTTGAGGAGATCTTTGGAAAACCAGATCAGAGCTCCCGAAAGTATCATAGAAATGTGGTCATTTTTTTATATGGGTATGTAGCTACAAGTGTTCTCTAAAAAATGGGAGTCCAACGAGACCTAGATTTTCTACGGCTCTGGCGTTGTACCGGATTTCCTACGAGTCCCGGGACTGGCACCTGATGACTCTTCGTAGCCATGAAAGCCAATGGACTATAGATAATCGATCATGCTGAGTTTCGTGGCAATATTTGCTTTTAGAAAAAGTTAGAAGTCTATCGAAAAGGGAGTTTTACGAAAACTAGGGTTTTCAGACTGTTTTCACCTAATATTAAAAAATTCACTATTCACTCAAAATACATCAGAACGAGTTCAAAACTTTAGGATATAGCTAATTCTGTCCGCTAAACGTGATTATAAGATCGAAAAAAATCGAAAAAACATATTTTTATTAATGACCGTCCCAGAAACCCTTGCGGAAAGCATTAGAGTTCTATAAAATCTCTTTTTGGATCTCCTGTAAATAGGATATAGAATAGCTTAAATGCTTTACATACTGAAGTTTTGAACTCGTTCTGATGTATTTTGAGTGAATAGTGAATTTTTTAATATTAGGTGCAAACAGTCTGAAAACCCTAGTTTTCGTAAAACTAGGGTAAAACTCCCTTTTCGATAGACTTTTAAACTTTTTCTAAAAGCAAATATTGCCTCAGCATGATCAATTATCTATAGTCCATTGGTTTTCAAGGCTACGAAGAGTCACCAGGTGCCAGTCCCGGGACTCGTAGGAAAGCTAGTACAACGCCAAAGCCGTAGAAAATTTGGGTCTCGCTTGACTCCCATTTTCACGAGCACATCCCGGACTATCAGTCCATGAAAAAGATCAACATTATTCTATTGAAAAATTTTGCATCCGATCTGGTTTTCCAAAGATCTCGTAAACAGCCTATTTCAGAAAACTCTTGTGGAAATAATTCTGTTTGTGGAAACATGTCTCCAAGTCTTCTCTTTTGCATGGTGAAAACCGAAGCTCTCTAGCTGCTTTCTATCAAAAGTTATTCAAAAAATAGCTACTGCTCTTGTATTTTGAAATGGATAGTAGTTTACAGCTAGAAAACTTTTTGTACTTTTGCCACCGTCCAGCGCACTCTAATTAGGGCCCTACAGAAGCTCCTCTAAAGGAGGATACAAGCTGAACACTCAAACAGTGAGCCTCTTTCGAACAGTAGTTCAACTAAAAAAAGTCATTCAGCCGTTTCCTAGGAAACGCGATACACAGCACTTTTCAAAAAAGTCATTTTTTGAAGGGCTGTTATGACACCAAAAGGTAGACGGGTATACTACATTTGATAAAACAGTTTCTGAAATAATCCAAGTACACGGCCTGTCTTCATTCGGTTAGAACTGTCAAATGAAATAAAAATAAACTAAATAGAAAACCCTCTATCAAGTGGCGATTATCAACTATCTATATATTCTATGATCCTAAACAAAGCTCGTTTCGTAAAATTTGGACAAACATCGGTATAGTAGCGATACATTATCACGCAAGGACAAGATACAATGCTGCAATAAACCAGAGGTTCAGGATCGGTGATAGCGTAGGTTCTCATACTAATTAGTTCACGTCGTGAAATTTTGCACAACGTCCTGCTCGAATACTCGATACATATCCGAACACATTAAGCCTCACACTCACCTTAAAGTTTGTTTCTAGGATATTTTCTGGTAAACTGAGTTTCCCGATCAAGCTTCTGTACTCCTTTTCAAACTTATCAATATCTTGCCCTTCAGATGGATGCACCATTATTTCTGCAATACATCGGTATATAAATTCATACTGATCCTGCAGATAAAGAAAAGTTACAAAATGTCTAATGTATCACAATCACGTTACCTGTGTCTGTACTAAATGTGGCCTGTAATGTCTTATATTATCAACAATCTGTTTTAAATTCAAATTAGGCAGATTAGGCAGAGTCGTATTCTTAACACATATTGAATAATCTTCGAGTAAATAATACAGAGCAATGAACACACCTGTCCTTCCAACACCGGCACTGAAATTAAATTTTATTTACCTCATTTTTCGTTCTTATAGTTATCTATCAAAATATCGCCGTTACCTGCAATGAACTAAACATGTCGTGTCGTTCTGCATCATTTTTCTTAATTTGAGAGCTAATGAAACCATAGATCTACAGTCAACCGGCTTCGATTTGTCAATAAAAGCGGTATAGTGATAATGTTCACATTCTTGTACTTGCTTTGTTACCTGGAAAAAAGATAACCAGTCATAATTTCGACTCTCAGCACGGTAAAATCCGATCATATTACTATAATTATTCCGATATAGCTGAATAATATTTTACTACCATTTATCGCATAAGGATGGTTAATCGATATATTACAATCCGAAACACTCACCATTTATCAATATATGGATTTCATATGAAGATTAGAATTCTCTATGGTAATAACGGCGATACAATGATAAGAGATAGTCGGAATTACTTACAAATCAAAACTTCAACTCTTTTTCTTTGTAAAAAACAACTGATATAGAGTATCACAGATAGATTAAACGGATATGCGACCATTTCTGTGACTTCACTTACTTGATTTTTAACACGCAATGTTCGGACAATATGCCGATAATACTCTGTTCTTTTAATCGTATTGACTTTGTAATGTTCAGAGCGTATTGCTCCGTTCAGCTCGTCCGGAAAGTACCGATCATGTTCTTCCTGAAATAGGTATAGGACAAAATCAACAATTCATAAATCCTAAGCATCACTCACACTGTACTTCTGAACCAATGGATCATACGTGTATGACAACATAACAATTATATCGATTTTTTTTTCCACTATCATGCGAAGAAAATCGTCCATCGTTCGTTTGGTTGGTCCTGAAAAGATAGAGAGCACCCAGCCGTCAACCAAGAATATTTTAGAAACTGTTCGTGACTTTACCTTGAGCAGCAAGAAATGTAGGTGATTTATAGCCTTTGCACTAAAACGATACGAATTGTAGTATTGATCTACTAAAAACATGGTTCACTCACTATCAAGTTTAGCAGGGCTATGTTTGGTCTTCTATATCCTTCAACTTCTGATTTAATAATCGACGCATTTATATAATCAGATTCATCGATGCCATCAATTTTTGAGAGTATTACTCGGCAAGTAGGTTCATCGTCTATAAGAGTAATTCAGCTATAGCTTTGTTTGTCGCAATGTTTACAGTCATGAGCTGTCTCACATGGGTACACTTCTTCAAAACGATTTTTATTCTTATTTTCCGATTTACGAGCGATCTTTGTACGTTCAGGTTCTGGTGATCGAAGAGACTGAAAAATAGGATCACTTGTAACAAAACTGCTGTGATCAAGTTTACAACACTAACTGTACTAACCGCATATTCTGCTTCCAATAACTCTTTATCATTTTCCGTCAATTTTTGCCAATGTCTGATCGCGTCTGTATAGGAAAATTCAAACTGTTTGTAGTATTTATTATAATCATCATCGCTTGAATATGGATCGTAAATATAACTTCCAGCCATTTTCACTGAAGTTTTTAACGTTTGACAAGCAAAAAACAAGCGACTTTTAAAAGCAAATAAAGAGGTAAGTTTTTATCATTCGTTATACATGAGGTGAATGTCAATAAATTTATGACTTTCTGATAACAGTTTCTTGAAAAGAAAAATGTTATTATCGTTATAACTTGCTTCGCGTCTTATAAGACGACTGATAAATTTCATCAGTATCAAAGATGAAAACTATTTGAACAATGTATATGTCAGAGATCAAGACGAACTTAATGTTAAAATATTTACTATTATCATACCAGAAGTATATATCGGAATGGCTGTGATAACACGACTTAGCTAGCTAACTCTGCTACCGAAGTGAAGTTTCATCACGGTTTTTTTTGCCTTCATGGCTTTTTTCTCACATACTTTTCCGATGGCGAGGCGCCCAGAGTTTTACGACGTCTCAGATTAAAGAGAAAGGTATGCTTTTGATTCTGAGAGGTTCGCGTAGTCCATATATTCTTCCATTCAAACGCTATGGCAAAAACAGAAACACCTACTATTTGAAAAATATGGGAGAAACAAATTCCAATAACCAGTGACGGAATTTTACTCTGTCCAGGACATCAAAAATTGTGTATAGAAAACAGGTAAGATGTTGTCAAAAGCTCATTTCTCTGTCTTCTTATGACAAACGGACGCCTTCTTCCTTCAAACGTAATAAAGCTAACTTGTCTCACGAGGGAACCTCTCGAGGTGATTAAAAGCTTTTCGACTCAGACTATTTTCATCATGTAGGGAATAGTCAATAGTGAAAAACCCCAAGTTGGTTTGGGCCCATGCGCCTTTTTGACGGAGATATGAGTTAATTAATGAAAATGCCATTAATAATAATTAATTAATATCTCATTAATATGATCAGCTAGGAGTCGGAAATTTACACCACAGTTGAAGATAGATGTTGTCTACTAACTGCGACACTCTTAGGCTTATAAACCAAAGCTTTTGCAAGATATGAATTTATGCTCTATTCACTGGTATTTTTATGGTTTAGACAGTTTTTAGTGAAAATTCACCATTGAAAACTTAAAAACTTGTTATCACAAAACAGCTTTCATGAAAGCTTTGGTTTATAAGCCTAAAAGTGTCGCAGTTAGTAGACAACATCTATCTTCAACTGTGGTGTAAATTTCCGACTCCTAGCTGATCATGATCGTGAGCTATTAATTAATTATTATTAATGGCATTTTCATTAATTAGCTCATATCTCCGTCAAAAAGGTGCATGGGCCCAAACCAACTTGGGGTTTTTCACTATTGACTATTCCCTACATGATGAAAATAGTCTGAGTCGAAAAGCTTTTAATCACCTCGAGAGGTTCCCTCGTCAGACTTGCTTAACATTTCCGATAGACAAACCTTTCAATACTGCAGCCAAAGGTGCATACATCTGTGCCCAATCTTTATGTGTATGAGTGAAACTTCGCACTGCTACCAAACACTCGATCAGACTTGTACCTCTAAGCCCAATGGTTGTTTCCACTTGTTCACAGTCCTTGTCTAGATCCTTAATCTTGCTGCGTTGTATGTCAATCTGATCTTGAAAGTGTTTGATCTGATCTGGGAACTTTTTAAGTGCTTCTTCGTACTTGATACGAGCACTTTCAAACTGTCCTTGAACTTCAGCTAGATCTTCCTTTTGTGTTTGTACTGCTGCACTCTGGTCTTTGACATCACCTTGACTCTCTTTGATTCGTAACGCTCGAGCAGCAATCACACCTTCATAGTAATTCTTTTGTGTCACCTTGTCGGGGTTGTTTACGTTCGTCTAATATGATAACGCATTGCTATATATAGTCTTTTTTATAAAATTTTAATAAAGAGTAAAAGTCACAGATGGACATTTGGTCCGCATGGTTTGCGGTTAATTTTTACGATTTATTTCGTAACACCCTCGGATAGGGTAACAGAAATCATGACCCGACTCGAGAGAAAACAAACACACGCCGATTCGGTAACGAAAAACTGATCCATGTCATTTCCTGATCGTTTTGTAGTAGCTGAGGAACGATTCCGTATTGATCCGTTAGATTGAGAATGGGAAAGCTTTAAAGTACAGACTTGAATTTTTCGAATTTTTTAAAAGTCACAAGACTTTCTTGGTAAAAGCGGAATATCAAACTTTGACTATAAAACTGTTGCAATCAAAGCCATAACCTACGGTAATTTATAAAAGAAATACAGTGTAGAAGTTGGCTTCGCTAGTATTTATAAACTTAGCTAAAGGTCGAAGGTTATAAAAGACTTAGATGTGCTCATCTTAGTGAGTTACAACAATTAGCTGATCAAATGAACTCCTAAAAGTTTTTTTTACCAAGTCCCAGAAAGAGGACAGCAAATTTCATACATACCGTTGTGGTCCTGGTACGGCTTTCTCCCCACCACCACCACCATCGTCGATAGTACGGCGAATATTCGGTTGTAGTAGTTTGCGTCACTGTATCAGGAATGGCTTTCACCGAGTTTTCCGCCTCTTCGTTTAGTTTCTGCATCTTTTGATAGCGTATCCGCGTTTCTTTCAATGCATCATCGGAGCCGCTTACGCGTGCCTGGGCTACATGCACCAAATTACTGTACTTTTCAAGTTTGCCTTTGTGACTAGCGAGTTCATCTATAACTTCCTCCTTTCTCTTTTCTAACAGAAGGATTTGTGTTTCAATTTCCTCTTTTTGCTTAGCAAAATCGGCACCTTTAGGACCGATTATTTCTAAGAACTCTTTCGCATGCTCTTCAAACAATGCTACGGACGAGTTTTCTAAGGACTTGGCCGTGTCAATTGCTTCCTCTAGAACTTTCAACGCTTCCGGAATCTTCGTTTGAGCTATTTCGATGGCTTTTTGTGAACCTGCAATTGATTTCAATATTTACATGGATAGACCAAGAGGAAGTTTACTTACCATGTGTACTTTTTACGATTGAAGCCGCTTGCTGAATAGTGGTAGCAAGATCACGTACGGAAGCCATCGCATGAATTAAGGTATTTCGTGCTTTGACGTCCTGTGTGAGTGAGCGAGTGATGGCTGGAATGACCTTTGCGTTTAAAAAATCAATTAAAGAAGAAGACAAATGTTAAGTAAATTTTCATTACCTTTAACTTCCAAAATGCACTTTTTCTTTCATCATCAAGATTAGGAACGTAGTCCACTATTAAAAAAGCTGCCTTTGTGAGTTGTCCACTGAAAGACATGATCTTGACAAGCTCCTTTGTATCACTCTCAAGAGCTCTTTCGTATTGATAGTCTTGAATGACCCAGTCTTGCGGCTTGGTTATAGGCACAAGTGCTGTAGGGCTGACATTGTTGTCAGAAGCCTTTTCTTGCTCTTCCCAAAGACTCATGGTTTGGTATCCTGTTCTGAAAACGAACAGAAAGAATAAAAAATAGCTTTATTTCGGAAAACTTTGTTGTCAAATGAAAGACAGGGCCACTCATAAATGACGTTATCACTTCAGTGAGTGATCGGGTGAATACAAGCGGGTTAAGGTGACAAATAGAATACATAGGGAGTGTGAGAATTGGGAGAAAGAGATTTGTATCGAAAAATATATTAGTATTATTTAGAAACCGCCAGAAAATAGCCCCAACAACAACAAGAACAATAATAAAAATTTGAATCACGCCTCACTGACAAAATAAGAGGCAGAGAAGTCAAAGGTGAAAGAGTGAGAGCGAGAGAAAAATGACAAGAGATAGAATTGGTGTTGTATATTCAATAGATAAAGTGTATGTATTAGGGTACTGTAAGAGATAGTGGCTTCGAACAATGGAAAACCTTCCAAAGACGGAACCTAAGCAGGATAAATTCTCTCCGGAAAGCGTCAGTCAATTGACGCCAATTACTGACGATGAGTCGGACTCTGCGGAAAAGTGACATCATCATGAACATCGACTCGGATGACGAAAATTTTTTGAAAAGAGTATAGCAAAAACATTTCCTCTTTTTTTTAAAAACCTCTACAAAACGAAAAAATTTTTTTTGCTGACGCCATCCGCCGTATAGAACTAGTAGGGCTGGCCAAATATGATGACGAGCAAAAGTCGAAAAATGAATTAAAAGTGGTATATCATCTTTCTACAGCCGCTGACCAAACTCCGATTAGTTCATCTCGTGCAAATGTTTGATGTACTGATAATTTACGTTTCAAAGATCGTCTTATAAATCTTGAAAAAAACAAATTCTACGACATCTTTAACCAACTTATTTCACATTACTACAGTAGTAGCAGACGATTAAGTTCGAAAAGCTAGGCAGATTAGAGATGTGTAGACAAAGTGTCTAAAGACGAATTGACGAATCGCAATTTTTAAGCGTAAAAATGATGGAACAATTCGCGCTTTACCCTTATTTTGCGAATTCGTACCGAATTGATGCGAACTCCATCAAATCCGTATGGATACTCATAAATACGTTTACGAATTCTTCTTGCGAATTCGTAAACAGAGAATAGATCAAACGCGATGCTGATCAATTCGCAAATAATTCGTAAAATTAGTTTACGAATACGTATTCACTGATTTTGCAACTAGATTGATTCGTAAATACGAATTAGCGAATTTGTATTACGAACTGATCCAGCGGTTGAAAATGGATCCACGAATTGACAAACCCATTCTACAAATTCATTGCGAATCGATGTGTACGCTTATTAGGCTACGTAGGGACAAGACACTTTTCACCGAGGTTAAAAATAGGTAGATTCGTTTCTTCTCATTGATTCGCATACTTCTCATACCAATTCGCTGTTATTCTTACGAATTCGTAAAATACTGCATGTTGTGTAAATACTCACAGCCATCCTCCCTGGGGGGGGGGGGGGGGGGGGGGGGGGGGGGGGGGGGGGGGGGGGGGGGGGGGGGGGGGGGGGGGGGGGGGGGGGGGGGGGGGGGGGGGGGGGGGGGGGGGGGGGGGGGGGGGGGGGG